GGCACTGAAATTGGAAAAGGATGTACCGAAGCAAACCACTCAGTAAATTTATGAGGTCTCAGCATAACAATGTCAGATCGTAGTTGAGCAGTGAGAATTCAAAGATTGCAGCACAGACGTCTGGGAAGGTAGCAGTAATTGAGCATATGTGTGTGTGATTACGGGAGAGAAGCTAAGGTGTGGAGTGGTTCTATTCCCTCTCAATACCAGGTCTTGGGTAGTTATGGCCTCTGAAGTGTCTCCACATGTTAAAGGCCAACCAGGAGGAGTTTGACGAGCTGACCAACTCTAAATGTTCGAAACTGAAAAACCTGCAAATTCCTCTGACACGCTGACTTGCGATTTTCCTACATCTTCACTGGGATTCTCCTGAATTGATAGACAGGCTTGAGGCTACCCGTACGGTATTCGTCAGTGTGTCCTTCCACATCTTTGCTTATTTTTTAGATGCATCAAATGCTGGTGGAGGTGTTGACGTATATGATAAGTTAACACGCCTTCCAGAAATCCAGTCTACCTGTTAGTCGTGCCAAATGAATCGCTTAAAGATGGAGGTATTCCTTTAATGACGGGCGAAGCTCCTCTGCCGCCTCATGAAGGCGATCTAAATGTGTAGTTAAAACTTCCCACAACGTCACTGAAAAATCGCTGCTTCTGACTATTTGCTTGAAATGCACGCCCAGTTTACCTCTCCCGGATCGGTCTATAGTGCGTACAAGTTGTGATTGAAAATGGTGATATGCTATAGGGTAGAATTCTGCATTAGAACCCCTCCAGGTCATTGGACAACTATGACGTTAGTGAATACCATTTCAGAGAATGCAATTTCTTCCTGTGGCCAAGTGCGGCGTGATATGTAGTAGGTGTCTAGTATTCCGGATATTTCGTTTATCGTCATACATACTCTGTTTTCCATAGAGTAGAGAAAAGTAGGAGAATTCCAAGCAGAGGCGACGCACTCACCACTTCTGACCTGGGATTTGTAAGGGTTAGAATGAGGACACCCACAGCCAAAAGATAGAGAGGTTTTACTACTATCCTCCAAAAGTTGGCTTACTTCGTGCCCATTGCTCCAACATTCTATGAGGTAGCTAATCTCCTGCTCTAGTTCACTTTATCTGTTAGGCTAATACCCTACAGATGAACCTTAAATTTGATAGCGTACACGATAAGCTTAAAGACCAATTCCCATGTCATAAAGAGGTGAGAATTGAGCACTCAGATGTCTGGCACTCAATCAGCAGTCACACAAGCACACCGTACTCCTGTGGCAAAGGACTTTCTGCCTGTATACTCTAGTTGTGAAAAAGAGGATATGTGACCTAAATATATACTTTGCTGTTTTAATAAATAATCAGTGGCTTTGGTTATTCCAGTCAAAGTAAAAAAGACCAGTAGTCACACCCATTAATTTGGCTGGCTTGCCATAAGTGCCAAAAGTAGACGTCTGCGTCAAAAGCAGAATGACGTAGTTTCGCTGCTCTCGATGATATCTAAGCAGCGAAGGCGAAGTTTTCTGTCACTGTCGGATTTGCGTTGATTGTGTGACTTCAACACCATGTTGATCGCATACACTTAGGTGTACGTGACCAAGTGACCAACGTCTCAGTATCGTATACTTCTTCAATCCTGGAGTGAAACAAACACCACCCACTACTTTCTCTACTTCATCATCCCTTACTTGTTGTTCCATTCGGCAGCATTTCTGGAATTTTATCGCTCCTCCCTCCACTAAAATGCAGTTGATGCAATCATTGCCATGTGCAACAGACTAACTGTCAAATTTTACTTCCATTATGCGGTTAAGTAAGTATGAATGAGTTTCACTTCTAACTTAAAAGGTCTCACAACCTGTGACACATTGTGCTTAAAAGGATATTCAAAGTGACTATGCTGCTTAAAATCAACTATGCTAGAAATTCGATTTCGCGCACAATCATTTGAGAGTAAATTTAATGAGTAGGTTTCTGCACCTTAGTTTTTTGCAACCTCTTAATTTGCATCAAATCTCATGAGCATTAAAACCTAAAGGCTTCCTACACAACTTCCT